CTCTCAAGCAGACTCCATGCTGAACATGGAGTCTGGCATGGGTCTCGATCTCATGACCCCAAGATCATGACCTGAGCCAAAATCAAGAGTCAGATGCTTAACCAACTGAGCCACCCAGTCACCTCCAAAGGTATATATTAAAATCCTTCTATAATTTACTAGCTGGATAGCGATGGTAACATTACTTCCTTATTCTCTTTCCTCATTTAAAAAAGTGGAGATAAAATCAACTTCACAAAGTCACTGCGAAGATAAAGTAGGATAATATTTGTGAACTGTCTGACACATAACAGGTATTCAGTCAATAAAGTTATTATAATTATCAAAGTAGGAAAGAATGGAAAACACATTACTAATTTGATGAGAAATACTAGATATGAATTGTGCTTTAGATAGCTATATGTCTCAGCTGCTACAGGGTAAAGTGTTATTATTAAATGGTGTTTGGATAGTTCAGTGTCCTTCATTTTGTTATGACTTCTGACATAAAAGTACTGTAATAAACTATTTCTACTGGGTAACATTCATTTGAAAACAGGCTTGTGAATTTCATTTAGAACCCTCCCACAGCCCCCCAACAAAAAAGCAAAATAGTTAGCTTAGATGTAAGATCAGGCCACTAAGTCTGCTTGGCTGCAAACTCACTGTCCCCCAAGTTGATCCATTCCACTTTGGGACAGTTCTAATCACAAAAAAAAAAAAAAAAAAAAAAATTAGCAATGTATGAAGCCCAAATATGTTTTACTTATTATCCTTGTTCTTCCTTTTAGAGTTGTAGAAATAAGTCCTTTATAAGATGGTCCTTCAAATGTTTAAGGACAACTATGATGTGTGGCTCCCTGCCTTCCATCCTACCTATTATCTGTACTTCTGCAAGTTAAATATATTCAGTTCCTTTTATATGTCCTCATGTAATGTGGTTTTGAGTCCTTTTACAGCATCAGTTTCTCTCTTCTGAACACCATAGCCAGTTTTCATAATCCCTGTGCAAAGTTTCGCACCTTGAACAAAGTACAATACCCCAGGCATTGCCTGTTTTCACCAGTGAAAAGTAGAATAGGGTTATTACTCACCATACTTATTCTCATTACTAAGTTTTTCTTATTATAGCCCCAAATCTCATTACTACCCTTTTTTTTTTAATGGATGGACTTCATTTTTAGAGCAGTTTTAGGTTTACAGAACACCTGAGCAGAAAGTAAGGAGAATTCCTTCTACCCCCAAACAGCTTTTTCCCTAATATTAACATCTTGCATTAGTGTGGTACCTTTGTTACAATTGATGAAAAAGTATTGCTACATTATTATTAACTAAAGTCCATTATATTAGAGTTCACTCTCTGTGTTGGATGATTTTCTGGGTTTTGACAAATGCACAATGTCATGTGTCCTCAATGACAGTCTCATACAGAATAATTTCAGTGCCCTGAAAATCCCCCGTGCTCCACCTGCTCATTCCTCACTCCTTCCTCCAAACCGCAGGCAGTCACTGATGTTTTTACTATCCCCACAGTTTTGGCTTTTCCAAAATGTCATGTAGTTGGAATTGTATAATATGTACCTTTACAGATGGGCTCCTTTGCTTAACATAGGCATTATAGGGGCGCCTGGGTGGCTCAGTCATTAAGCTTCTGCCTTCGGCTCAGGTCATGATCCCAGGGTCCTGGGATCGAGCCCCACGTCAGGCTCCCTGCACGGCGGGAAGCCTGCTTCTCCCTCTCCCACTCCCCCTGCTTGTGTCCCCTCTCTTGCTGTGTCTCTCTCTGTCAAATAAATAAATAAAATCTTAAAAAAAAAAACAAAAAACATAGGCATTATATTTCCTGCATGTCTTTTGGTAGCTTGATAGCTCATTTCTTTTATCTCTGAATAATATTTTATGGAGACATCCTGTCCATTATTTATCCATTCACTTATTGAAGGACATCTTGGTTGCTTCCAAGTTTTGGTAATTATGAATAAAGCTATATTGCTGCTATAAACACTCGTGCAAGTTTTGTGTGGACATAAGTGTTCAACTCATTTAGGTAAATACCACAAAGCACAAATGCTGAATCATATGGTAAGAGTATGTTTAGTTTTGTAAGAAGCTACCAGACTGTCTTCCAAAGTGGCCGTACCATATTGCATTCCCACCAGCAAATGAATGAGAGTTCCCGTTGCTCCATGTTCTTCCCAGCGTTTGGTGACCTTTTTTTTTTTTTTCCCTTCTTAAATACAGCTACATCACTGTTGATTTATACAGAGTTTATCATCAGTCAAAATCCCTTAGATATTTTTATATGACTTAGCTGCTAAGCCACATTATCCTTCTCCCAAACTTGTGCAGTTACTCTTTGGACCTCCCTTAGTGCTTTTCCTTTCCTTTGGTGCTTCTCCAGATGTCCTGGAGTCTCTTTTACTTATCAGGTTCACTCATAATCCAGCTGCTATGTGTATTGCTGTGAAGGACTCACACTTTTACAACCTTCTCCAGAGGGACTGCCTTCGGGAGACTAAAGGTCTGGAGGCTGGAGGTTCCTGGGAGTTTACATTCTTCACCCAACTAGGATGACCCATAGACAAATAACGGACTGGTATGGAGGTACAAAAACCCAGCTCCCTGTTTCAAGTTTGGGATAATACTATGATGAATTTATATACTCCAAAGTCCTTGCAGGATCAGGCAGAAACCAGGTTTTACTTAAACCACATTCCCTGTCTTTATTTCTCATTTCCTACACGTTTTTCCTGAGGCTACAACTTTAATAATTCAGTTGCACATGAATCCTCATCTCAGGCTCTGCTTCTAGGGAATCAGAGCTAATTTTATTACTCTTTTTGATTATAGCACCTAATTGTTTTTAATGTTTTTGACTATTATAACTATTCCTTTAAAAAATCATATTGTATTTCTTTTTTTAAAAGATTTATTTATTTTGAGAGAGAGAGAGGACAGAGTGCGCTCAGGGGGAGGGACAGAGGGAAAGAATCTCAAGAAGACTCCTTGCTGAGCCCCGAGCCTGACGCGGGGCTTGATCTCACCATCCTGAGATCATGACCTAAGCTGAAATCAAGAGTCAGACGCTCAACCAACTGAGCCAACCAGGTGCCCCAATATTGTATTTACTTCTAACAGTTCATTTTTAATTGCTTATGCATTATTGTGTGTATTTATTGAATCTTTAAGAGCCAGTTTTTTTTTTTCGAAAAAAATTACCTCTCCAATATTATAATGAATGTCAATGGGAAAATCAGATTAATTGTATAAACCTTCACTGCAAAGTAAACTTTATTCCATTAGGTGAGGATTAGCTCCGTTGCATTCATTCACATCTTTCATTGAGTTGCCTGACAGTGGTACTATTTTAGGTAGACATACTATATTTCAGACTCTCATTAGTTTCAGGATTTCTTTTTATGCCAAAGATTTTGTCTGAATACCTACCTTTTGCTTTTTATTTTTTAGTGGTGGATGCCTACTTGGCCCAAGAGCCTGTCTTCAGTGAAAGACCCATCTCTGTGTTTCCATATTACGTGACTTCGGCATTGCCTTGTATGGAAAGGAGAAGCCCCTGAGAAAGTTGCCAGCACCATTTCTGGTGACTCTGGATCCTCTCATATGGAAGATCTTGCAGAAGAAGCATCACCTGATTGAAATGATAAATTATAAAAGGGGAATATGTCACTGTGAGGTAACATGGCCCGAGTCAGCTGTAAGGGGCTAGAGGTAACATTCAAATCCATGGCCACTGAACTCAAGGAAGAACAAAGATCAATGTCATCAAAACCTGGAATGAGGACATTTCTAAAAACTTCTGCCTATCATTTCTAAATATCAAGTCACCAAATTGAATGTGAAGCCAACGGATGGGAAGACATAAAAAACAGCATAAAGGATGATAAGATTTTGATTGAGTCTGATATATTCAAGAAGATAGTCATAATAACAGGTTGTTTGGAGGATGTGAATAGAACTTACTACAATTAAAGACACCAACCATAACATTGAAAAGGAAAAAAAAATTTTACAGAGAATGTGGCTGGTTCTTCTAGATTTTCTATTCTTCACATCAATGCTTTGAAAAAGTCTATACCCCAAGGAATTCTCAGGGTTGGAGGCCATTAATAATGCTTGCACCAAACATACCAGAGTACATGCAGGAGAGTATAAAGAATGAAATTCCTGAGCAAGGGAAAAGGACTGTTCAAGAAGCCCACTCCCAGTCCTTCTGGAGTTTTCTATTTGTTATAGGAAGTAGAGTGTGGAAAATTCTCTAACATTGTTTTAAGAAAGAAAATTCATAACCTTTTTGAGTTAGATCAGGCATGAAAAATACCTTTCATTTCATGGGTTACTTCTTTTTTGGGGGGGAGGGGCAGAGGGAGAAGGAGAGAGAGAATCTCATGGGTTACTTACCAAACAATAGTTGTTGCCTGCAGCTTTGTGTTGAGCAAGTTTCTGAAACTCTATCTAGATTGATTGAAAAAGAGTGTTGGTACCAATTAATGTCTGTCACAGGTGTGGATGACGAGATATATAGGGATGGGGAGGTGATGTGCGCCATGTTATTACCATTGGTAAGTGTGAGAATACAGTCAGGTAGATCAACTCCTCTTCCTAGATTCTGTGAAGATCAGATTCACAGATTGTGCCTTCATCAGCTAATATTTTGACTTTGAGTGAGTGGTTTCATCTCTTTGTACAGTTTTTTTTTTTTTTTTTTTTCAGGAGAATGAAGTTTCCATACTAGATGATCTCTAATGACCCTTTAAATTCTAAAATTCTTTGGCTGAGTAATAGTCAAACTACAAATGCATTATCATGGAGAACTGAGGGCCATGTCTTACTTTGGGTTCCCCCAGAAGAGAACCTGAGACAGGATTCAAGTGCAAATGATTTAAATAGGGAAGTAAAAGGTACTGATAGGGTGTGTTATCAAATCCGTTACCGCTTAATCCCACTAAGGAAACTCAGAGTGAGTACTACCTGGGAGGCAAGGTTGCTGGGGAGTTTTACACGAACTCCTGTCAATCATTGGATGAGGGCTTGAGGGGGGTGGGAGGGCTGCTTAATTTACCTGCAATTCCTCTCTGCTACACCTGAAGGGAAGCAGGCTTTGGCACTACAGAAAGTCCTGGGACAAGAAATACAGTGGGAGGGCCGCCTGGGTGGCTCAGTTGGTTGAGCATCAGACTCTTGATTTCAGCTCAGGTCATGATCTCAGGGTCCTGGGATTGAGACCCAGGTAGGGCTCAGTGTAAGTGTGGAGCCTGCTTAAGATTCTCTCTCTCCTTCTCCCTCTGCCCCTCCCCCCAAAAAAAGAAAAGAAAAGAAAAGAAATACAGCTGGAAATATGACCAGAATGCCCTTACGTAGTAAGAGCCAGAGGGTATGAACAGGGTCTGCTAAGCTACAATTCTTGGGGGAATAAGTAAAAGAGCTCACTGGCATTTGGAGTTAAATATAGTTGATGCTCAAAAATCGTGATAGTAAATTATTTGTTTTTGAGTCTTAGGGTTGGATTATGAGTTGAGTTAGAGAGGTGTGGAATCTAAGGTTATTTCTCAGAGTTATATGAGAAAAATCTCCAGATAGCATTGGGTCATTATTTTTACTGTTTTCTCCACAGTCAAGAGACCAAGTCAGCTGGAAAAATTATCTTTCAAACAGTAATGTGATAGCCTCAACCCAAACCAGAGAAGGTCTAAACCTCGTGTTGATAAGTGGAGATGTTATCTATTTCCAAGTAAGTGGTGCTATTTAGTAAATCCGATAAGAAACAATGGGGCCTAATTCACCAGTTCTGTAATTTAAGGTCAAAGATTAAGATCTTATAAATTTGAGGAGTTAAACCCACCTGAAGTTTAAGCACGGCTATACTTAACTATCCCCTGTATTCCACATGTTCTCATGTGAAGAGATCCAAGTTGACCACAAACACCGGTGTGCACATCTACCTCTTTTATTTCTCTATAACTTATCTTGACCTACTTTCAACCCAGCTCTATTCCAATCATCATTTATGGGGAGGAGATATACACATCATTTTATAATATCACCCTTCACAAAAGTACCCTGTCACTTCTGTCTGAGCACTTTCTGAGACAAAGGCAGAATGGGAAAGGAGAAAGATTACCAAGGCAGGTACTAAAATCTCAGCTTGGCTTTTACTTGCCTCTTCTCCTATTGCTTTGCCCCCTTGGAATCACCAGTTAGCAGGAGATACAAGCCCTATATTCTATCTATAGTTGACATTCATGATACTCAATCCTGGCTGCATGTCAGAACCATCTGGGAAACTTTCAAAAATAGAGCTGCCCAGACCCCACCCCTAGAAATTCTGATTTTAATTGGTCAGGTATGTGGTCTGGGGTGGGGGTGGGGGGTCAGTAGTTTTTTTTTTTAAGAATTCCAGGTGATTCTAATATGCTGCTAAGGCTGAGAATTACTGATTTGGATTCTTCTTCAGAATTCTGTAGTTTCCACCATTTTGACACTTGCTATTTACCTTCAGAGGGCATACACTCAAGATTAATGGAAAGAGAATTCTTCTGAGAAATTTGGAGACTCATGGCTTATGAGCCACTGGAAATATTCTTTGCTTTTGTGCAGCTAATGAGATGGCAGCAGCCACTTTCCTCATGTTCTCTAGAGTAGCTAGAGTCCTTAAACTCCTTTGTCACATGGTTTCAGGACCTTGTTCTCAGATCTTCAGGTTGAAAAGGTGAATCTTATAATTTTACCCAGACTTAAACTGGCACTAATCAGACTCAAAAGACTTATTTGTAAAACTAGAATTGTAATTATTTAATTGCAATGAGGAAGCTAATTGCCATGGCTACTGGTAAAAAAAAAGCTCTGTAGCTGCCTATTATGAGATTGCTTGGTGGGCATTCTCAGATCAGAAAAGAACTAGGTAACATAGAAGTACAGTAAGTTTCTTTGTCAGTCTAGGAATAGACATAGTGTAGTGGTTATGCAGACCAATGACAAAGCTAGTTTTGGCAGGGTTCAAATCCCACTCTACCACTGGCCAGCCATTGATCTTAGTCAACAACTCCCTTGGACTCAGTGTCCTTAGCTATAATTATGGATGATGACAATATTAGTGTTGTGAGGTTTAAATAAAATAATCCATGTAAAGCATTTAGCACTTCCCTGGCACATAGCAAAAACTCAGAAAACGATAGCTACCGTTGTTAGCCACTTACAACAGACTACTCTACGTTTTACCTGACCCAATTAGTGCTGCAATCTAGTTGAGATATTCTGTACCTTCATCTTATAGACAAGGAAACTGAGGTCTTTTCACCACATAGTCTCTTAAGTTGATTATTAAACTCTTGACAACTCAGTCAGGATACCTATTCTCACCATTGGATGATGCTGTTTAAACTTTGGAGTCCTCTAACTCTTTCTTCTCTGAGTTCCTTTCCTTATCGCACCTAGTTTCCCAGCCTCCTTGCACACTCTCTCTTTTATATGCCCTTTCCTTTTCATTCCCACAGTCAACTCGTCCTTCAGCACCCCCAGTCACCTCTCTCACCCTCCAGTCTGTTCTCTCCATAGCTGTTTGATGCATGTTCATCAGAAGCTCCCTGCTGCCTGTAGCAGAAAGTCCAAAAAAGTATGAGCTTTCAGAGTCTTCCATCGTCTGGCCCCAAATCTCTTTCCAGCCCTGTCTCTCACCGTTAGCACTCTCCGTTAGCTAAATTGGACTACTTTCTGACCTTTCTCAATTCTTTGTGTTTTCTTAAATATCCACCCACCCAGAATGCCTACTGCCTTCTTTCTTCCTGTCCCAGCTTCATCCCTTATCCTTTTTGCATAGACTTTACTAACCAGTCCAGTTTAAAGGATTCCTGCCTTTTTTGAATTTCTATAGCAATTACTAATTGTATTTTTAACACAGTTTCTTTTGATTATCTTCAACTGATTTAAACATTAAGAATATTTTACTGTTTTACGTGTTAATATATTACTTCCCCAAACTGTGTAGGAATCAGTAAGCAGGGAGTGTGGTGATGGTGGGCTGGATCTTGGTTTTTTGGCAAGCTCACTGACTTTTGTCCCTGTGGGGAGCTTCTCGGGTCCTGAGATTAGTTTATGTTAACTAACCTCATATAAGATTGAGGAGGACCCATGGAAACCAATGAGAACAAAAACACATCAGTCCAAAACCTATGGGATACTGCAAAGGTGGTCCTAAGGGGGAAATACATAGCCATCCAAGCTTCACTCAAAAAAACAGAAAAATCCCAAATTCACCAACTAACTTTACACCTTAAAGAACTAGAGAAAAAGCAACAAACGATGCCTAAGCCACACATTAGAAGAGAAATAATTAAGATTAGAGCAGAGATCAATGAATTAGAAACCAGAAACACAGTAGATCAGATCAACGAAACTAGAAGCTGGTTCTTTGAAAGAATTAATAAGACCGATAAACCACTGGCCAGACTTATCCAAAAGAAAAGAGACAGGACCCAAATTAATAAAATTATGAATGAAAGGGGAGCGATCACGACTAACACCATGGAAATAGGAACAATTATTAGAAATTATTATCAACAACTATATGCCAATAAATTGAGCAACCTGGAAGAAATGGATGCCTTCCTGGAAGCCTATAAACTCCTAAGACTGAAACAGGAAGAAACTGACAACCTGAATAGACCAATAACCAGTAATGAGATTGAAGCAGTGATCAAAACCTCCCAAAAAACAAGAGTCCAGGGCCTGATGGATTCCCTGGGGAATTCTACCAAACATTCAAAGAAATAATACCTATCCTCCTGAAGCTGTTTTAAAAAATAGAAACAGAAGGAAAGCTTCCAGACTCATTCTATGAGACCAGCATTACCTTAATTCCCAAACCAGGCAAAGACCCCATCAAAAATGAGAATTTCAGACCAATATCCCTGATGAATATGGATTCCAAAATTCTCAACAAAATCCTAGCTAATAGGATCCAACAATACATTAAAAGGATCCAACAATACATCCACCACGACCAAGTGGGATTTATCCCTGGGATGCAAGGGTGGTTCAACATTCGCTAATCAATCAGTGTGATAGAACACATTAATCAGAGGAGAGAGAAGAACCATATGGTCCTCTCAATTGATGCAGAAAAAGCATTTGACAAAATACAGCATCCTTTCCTGATTAAAACTCTTCAGAGCATAGGGA